GGGGGGGGGGGGGGGGGGGGGGGGGGGCAGCTAGGGCATTGGACCCCCTGCCCCAGGTGCAGCTGCTACCTTCATAGAAAAGGGGAGCAATGCTCCTAGAGGCTGTGGCCAAGCTCTCCGTCACAACAGGCATCAACATCCTGGCAATCTCTTCCAGCAGGACCTCCCAGGCACAAGGATGGCTCCAGGGCCTGCAGGCTGGAAACACACATGGATGTCTCTAGGATATGAACTGGCGTGGGCAAGTTCAAAGACAATTCCCAGACGGTGCAGAGGACACCAGGTCTGTCAGTTCTTGATTAGTTTTCTTTAGTGTCTTTAGCTAGAGCCAAGAGGTCTCTTGCACCTGGGAGATGGCTCCTATCAGTACACCACAGAACCTAGGCTAGGTCGTGAGCCTGGTTTATGGGGCAGATTGAGAACAGACCCAGCCTAGAGCACAGGCTATGAAGAGGCTGCCACAATGTGATGCCCACCCCACAGCTGCCATTCTTTCAGTCACAACAGTTAAAATACAGAATTCACTCACCACTAGTAGCCACACAAAGATGCTACTGTTGACAACCAATTAGCCAGGGTGCATCCCCCGCCCCCAAAAAACTTTAAAACAGCAAGTCCGGCATTACCAACATGCCGCCACGCATACGGTTCAATTCTTCCTCCAAACTCGATTCAGTGAGCGTAAACAGAGAGCAGAACATACAGGGCTTTACACAGACAAGATCTGTAGAAACTAACCCAAAGCATCACAGATGGCTGAAATCATAAGTGGCAGCACCCATCCCACAGGCCAGAGCACAAACTCAGGACACTTATCATGTACCGAAGGGTACCAGACTCCTGTTCTCCCTCTGGTGCAGAGGTGGTGTTAGTTCCTGCAGCACAGCTCCAGCCAAGGACATGGCCCACCCATGCTGCTCTCTTCCAACAGAGGTTGAGCCAGGAGCATGGTATTACAGAAGGCCTTAGCTGATGCTTGGGAGCTACAGGAGCTAGATGGCATGTTCCATTTAGAGCACCAACATATTTAAACCCCTGCAGGGGCCAGTACCACTCACTGGAAAGGGTAAGCCAGGCAGAGTTTTGTCAAGTAGGCACCTGCTAGGCCAAATCAGAGCAGTCCTTCAGGAGGAGGGGCTTTTACTGGGTCATTAGATTACACCACAGGGAAAGGCTTCTTGACCAGTGAAGATTCTTCCCCAACCCAGGAACAGCAGTTCAGGACAAAACTGCTACCTCTGGCCTGCCCAGAGGGCGGGGGAACATGCCACTTAGCAGGGTAGGGAGGTAGGAACACAGGGAGATGGCAGCTGAAGCAGCAGGGTGTCAGTCACTGTCAGACACAGGCTGGGAATGTGACCCTGGGGCCAGCACCCACAGTATCTCCACAAGCTCCTGCTCTGCATGCTCAGCCCATGGAGACCAGCCTGTCAGTGTAGTCAGGGAAAGAAGGGCACAGGAGCAGCTACAGGAAGCAATGGGAGAATTTTAAACATTATGAAACATGGAGAAAAAAAAGTTAGGGAGGAAACACTGTAGATATGTACAGAGGTTTATCCAGTCTCGGCTGTAGAAGTGTTCAAGTAAGAAGGGTTTGGTTTGCCCCATCTCATGTAGAAGAGTTGCTGCCACCCAGAACTGGCTCCAATGGATTTCACAGACACGAGCACCTGAACTGCAGGGGCTCAGCTGCTTGTGTAGCTGGTCGCTCTACATTGAGTCTTGGCTCAAGCAGCTGGGCTGGGGCTTATCGCAGCAAGGCCAGAAATTCATGGCCAGAAAATTGACGAGGCTACTTTTTGCGGGTGTGCTGCCTTCGTGCCTGCAGGCGCTGACGGGCCCCAGTCTTGGATCCTGACCCAATGGAGAATGATGGTGCTAAGGAGACAAAAAGACACTGTGAGTACATCCCATGCCTGTGCCCTGCTGATCTGAGAAGAGACACTCCAGAACAAACAGAAAGCTCATTACAGTGTTAACTTATTGCATAGGGTTTTTTTCCCAGGGGTCTGGATACCTAGATACCACTTTCCCTGCTCATGCTTCTCTCCCCAACCCTCATTTACCCCATGCGGAGAAGCAAATATCTGCAGCAGAGAACAGTGACAACCTGTCCTGGCCTCATGAAGCAGCCAGGGCAGTGTTATGACCTTCTTCAAAGGCAGTCAATTACTTGACTTTGCACACGAGTGGCTGTTACAGATGCACTTCCAAGCACCCCAAAGCCAGCAGCCAAACCAACCCTCCCCTTCCCCATCTTCTCCCCTCTCCATCCAGAAGGGCAACTGAGAGTAGACTCTGCTTTAACAGCAGGTTTATGTCCATATCCTAGCCTTACAGAACAGTGTTGCATCAGTCCCCTTAGATGAAAAGGACCCCCAAGGAAATCTTACCAAATGATGGCCCCACACTTCCAAAACCTGAGGCAGGAGTGCTGGGGGTTCCAAAGGAAAGGCTGTTGCTCCCACCTCCTGCTCCTCCTGGGACAGGGGTACTCTGCCCAAAACTGGGTGCAGGAGTTCCTGAAAAACACCACCTTGCTGTAAGTCTGGATGAAAGGTGCAGGATGAGAGATGGCCCAGAGGCCAAGGTCACTGTGGGAGATGAGTCTACTGTCTGAGGAAGTATCTGTTCCAAAGGAAGGCCACAGCTCAGGACAGAGAAGAGGCTCCTGCAGGACCAGTTTAGATGCATCATTGCTTCCCTCCTGCTGGACAGCAGAGGGAATGTATACACACCCCTGAGATCTCCCCACTCAAAACACAGCAGCTCCTGCCACAGGACAGGCCCCTGGCACCTCTCTCTCACTGCCTCTCAAACTCTCCTTCCAGGAGGATCAGTGGGCTTCCCAGGGT